TAGTGCATGAACATACAACATTTGGTAGTAAATTCCATACACGTGTAGTTCAGTGACATGTAAAAATACACTTTCTGCATAATGTCTAATTTTTAATCATTCATTTGTAAAACATGATCATTTAAATATTGCAACAAGTAATATGTGTATTAAAAATACTTATATTGTCAAAGGAATAAGTGAAGTACTCATTGCCATTGATTGCTGTCCAACTGATAAGTGTGTTTGTATGTTGTTTAATGTCCCTCTCGAGTAATTTCACTCATATGGAGGTGCCATCACTTGCCAATGGAGAGCTGCAAATTTTGTCCTATGCTCGGCACTTAGGGCCATTGAGCAGGGAGGGATCTTTTTCGTACCAGCACCTACTGTGACACGGGACCTCGGTTTGTACGGTCTCATCCGAAGGACCGGTCTCCACGTCCCACAGTGGGATTCGAACCCACGACATATGGATCAACTCCTTACTTCGGGACTCTAGAGCAGATGCTCTAACCACTGCGCCATGCAAATCTAGAGCAGATGCTCTAAGCACTGCGCCATGCGGGTGACCTGATGATTGTAAGAATTTTTTAAAACACATAAAATGGTCAATTTCACTCTTAACGAATCTACAAAATACAAAACTTCCATCAGAAACATTTGGAGAACATAGACTTAAGTACATGTATATAATTATAATAGTTGAACAGGTGACAAAAGGATAATATTGAAGTTAAATTATGCAACTTCTTTCAAAAGAGGGACTTGCAAGTTAACAAGATGAACATAGATGAAATATCTGTGAAAGTAAACCAAAAATGAAGTATTTCAGTTTTTGATCCTTCATTGTTCAGTGATGTTGTTCACTGGCAATTTTAAAGCACAATGCAGCCTCTAGTTAAGTGAACTGACCTATGAATAAAAGAAAAGCAGGTATATTTAGACACAGTCCTGATTCAGTGAATGATGAATCTTTCATCAGATACATGTAAGATAATTAAGGACTCCTGCACTGATTTTTTTTTTTAGAATTTGAACCTCACTATGTAGGACTATGACAAACATCTGATGTTGAGCCAGGATATATTAGCTTTGAGCAAAATGTTATGAAGCCAATTGGAGTTAAACACAAGTGAAAGCCTTCACAGCATGATGATTTATGTAAGAGATGTAAGCCATTGCAAGCATATCTATATGTGATGGAATGTCTTGTGTCATTTTAGTAGCATCTATCAAGGCTCTAGCTGATACAATTCTGCAGAAGATTTAGACAGTGATATTTTGCTTTTCAATTGACAGGGAAAAAACAGGGGTTTTATCTGACTTCTCTAACAAGTTACAACTCTCCATGTGAAGCATGCATGGACATTGTATATTTAAAAATGACTGGAAGGCTTACAAAAAATCTGTGAGATAAGTTTAGGTCACATAGGTTAAACATTGGGTTGCATCAAGTTGGTCATCAGTTTTAGCAATCATGACTGTGGGTGATCAATCACCATATCTTATGTCAAACCTAATCAGCTGTCTCACTACATGTGTAATACACTGAGAAAATCATATGACAGTGATGTATACAGTAGCTGCGAACTGAAAAAAAAAACATACAAAAGATAGAGTGTAGTTGACATTGTAATTAGATAAGCCTTAAACTTCTATATATACTCTTCAAATTTATAATGAGTATATTCCAAATATAAAATTATGCTTGTGTAGAAGATCGGGCTTTACGGGCCATGGATATCGGCCTGGAGAGCTCAGTGGTTAGAGCACCTGACTAGTACATGTAATGCAGGGGTCCCGAGTTCGATTCCCGGTCCAGCCATATATTTTCTTCGTGCATTTCTCCTTTCCTACTACATTTGGTGGCCAGTGTGGGAGGCCTTGTTCAGGTTACAGTGTATGTGTAAATTAGTAATTCCTGGCAGGGCCCTAGAACTTGTGTCTTCGAGGTCGAAGACTGTTTAAGGAGGGAGGAATGTAGAAGTTAGGGCTTTACGGACCGTGGATATCAGCCTGGATAGCTCAGTGGTTAGAGCACCTGACTAGTACATGTAATGCAGGGGTCCCGGGTTCGATTCCCGGTCCAGCAATATATTTTCTTCATGCATTTCTCGGCCTTTCCTCCTACACTTGAAGTAATCACCCTGTTTGATATGACAAGAAGATAAAATTTTCTTTGTGGTTTCATTATCACTAGACTACCGATCAGCTCTTTTTACAGGAGAAGAAGAAAATTTGATGAACAGCTATTGATTTTCTTTAGAAAAAAGATTTTCGATGATTTGAGGACTTCACTCTATTTATAATGTTAATTACATTTATATCTTCCTCACTGATATACTTGCATATATAATCCATATCTTATGTCTCTTTTCTTTGTATCAAAACGAAATACTGATTGATAATTATTGTTTAACGCCGAGTCGGCAATATTTCGGCGATCAAAACGAAAGAAATGAAAGGCCAATTGATCTATGTATGCATCACCCCGCTACTTTCGTTATTTCCAACCAATGAAAACTGTCCTTACTTAACTAGACTACACTATTGCGTCATATTACCCAAAATGCAATTATTGCACATGCATCACAAGTTTATTGCATGTACATCACAAGATTATCGAATATACATCACAAGATTATAGAACATACATCACAAGATTATAGAACATACATCACAAGATTTTGAATATACATCACAAGATTTTGAATATACATCACAAGATTTTGAATATACATCACAAGATATTGCACATACATCACAAGATTATAGAACATACATCACAAGATTTTGAATATACATAACAAGATACAGCACATACATCACAAGATTATAGAACATACATCACAAGATTTTGAATATACATAACAAGATATAGCACATACATCACAAGATTATAGAACATACATCACAAGATTTTGAATATACATAACAAGATATAGCACATACATCACAAGATTTTGAATATACATCACAAGAATTTGAATACACATTACAAAATTTTGAACATACATCACAAGATTTTGAATATACATCATAAGATTTTGAACATACATCACAAGATTTTGAACATACATCACAAGATTATTGAATAAAGCAACGTTTTACGTATAGGCAATTCCCAGTAACATCTATAAAATAAATTTCAGTCTCTTTAGGATATTTTCCTGTCTCTGCACATAATTTTTTGATAGCTCTGTGCATTAATGCATTCAATGGCATCGCCAATCTTTGATTGTTTTTACGCATTGATCATCTATGATTAGCGATAGAACAGTCAGAACCCCTCCATGTTTATTCGAAATTTCACAAGATGACGCGTTTCATGAATTACGTCCTGTAGTTACATGTACATGTACAGGTGAATTATCTGAAATCTCTATACACTACAACAGTGCAATTTTTTAATTTAAAAAAAATGCCTGTATAATGTAACAAACGCGTGAAAAACTTGACAGGCTTCGTGTAGTTGTGTGTTTAATCGAAATAATATTTCTGTATATTTTTAAGGATCATTAGAAAACAACAAATCTTTGTGTTTATATTGGAAAATACGTCGTATAGTTTTTATCTGCAGAGTTTTACTGGCTTCATGCAAATAGCACGCTCACAATAGAACTTGTCCGCGAACTTTTCTGAAAAAAAAAAAACCTCGAATAAGGAATTACAAGTAACTCGATATACTCACCTACAATTTCAACAATTGATATAGTTTTTGTCAAAGTAGGACTAATATATTTTTTTTCGGTGATTTGTAAAGAAGATTACTGATCTCTTTAGAAAGGTGACATAAGGCTAAAAATATTTTAGATACTTTTAGACTTAAACATACTTACCCGGAAAGCATACATTATTTCAATTTTCCCAAAAAATGCTAATATTAATTGAAAACCAAAATAATATCACTCATTTTCTACATGCAATAGAACTATTCTTGTTGATATAATTAAGGTCTTCCGTCTTCAGCGGAAGACCTTCTTGTTATTCTTAGGTTTCTTTTCCACTATTTTTATTATTAAGGTCTTCCGTTTTCAACGGAAGACCTATAGTGATTCTACTGTTTCTTCTTCTTCTTCTTCTTCTTCTTCTTCTTCTTATTTTTTTGACTTTCTAATTTTGTGCACGCGATTTCTCGAAGACTGTTGGATGCATTTACATGAAATTTCCAGGAATAGTGTGTTGTAACATGAACTTGATCTATCTGAGAGAAAATTTGGAAATTCACTTCCGGTGCCACGTTAGAGACCATTTTCTGATTTCAAAATGGCATTTTGTCCGCGGATAATCTCAAGAACGACAAGAGATATCAATGTCAAACTTTCAGGGATTATAGTTAGTGATAGGTATTAGCCAGGTCGCTTGAAACTTTCAGGGATGATAGATTGTGACTCGTACAATTGAGAAACCTGTATAGTTTTTGTTGCCGTGACGTCCGTTGTCCACCGGAAGTAGTTTAAAAATATGCAAATTTTCATTTTTTTTTATTGAAATGTTTTTAATAGAGACAAATAGACTGTTTCGAGTCATATTATTTCCACCGGAAGTTATTTTATCCGAACCGGAAGTAGTCGAAAAAATGCTCATTTTTCCTCGAAACTTTGAGGGATGATTCCTCCACACTCGGTGAAGAGTTAAAAGTCATTTTGACTACTTCTGGTCATACCGGAAGTGAATAGAAAAGACTGGAAGTTGTTTGAAATTAATAGATTTCACTCTTTTATGAGTTGCTAAACAATTCTGAAGAATTGATATGAATATTTTTTTACATTTAAAGTTGTTTTACTTTCTTCTATCAATCAAAATTTCCCAATCAAGATTTTATCAGAAATCTAACGGAAGACCTACTCGTTGCTCGCAACGAGATCTCATCTAGTTATTATTATTATTTTTCTTACCGATTTTGTGCACGCGAGTTCTCGAAAACGGCTCAACGGATTTTCATGAAACTTTCAGGTCTGGTAGAACATCAAAAAATCTAATTTTTTTTAATTTTGATGACATCACTTCCGGTTCGGAGATTTCCGCAATTTAGTGATTTTAGGAGGGTCACTTTGTCCGAGAGCGCTTTCTCAAAAACCGATGATCATAGAAGTATGAAATTTTCAGTGATGATAGAGCAGCCTACGAAGAAGTGAATTTTGTATCTTATAACCACC